GTACCTGCCATGACTGTGCAAGTTTATTTACAGCAATTCCTAGAACACCCCATTTTGCCAGGGTAGCCAGGTTATACTTCTGCACCCTAGTTTTATGGATCAGGTTACATTACAACAGGTCTTTCTTGTTTTCAGATCATTTAGGTCATATAAATGTACATAAAGATAACATTTTGCTTTTTCCTTTATCCTTTAGTAAAACCATTGCTAATATGAAGCAACAGCTGTACAGAACTGAAGAGCACTATTTTTTAAAATTATGAAACTGTGACCAACCATAACAAGACATAAGAAATCCATGCCTATCTATTCTACAAGCCAATAAATAAAATTATTAAATCAGACCAAAAAGGAGCTATAACACTAGGAGCCTATAATTTTAAACTCAAGGACAAGAGGTAATAGTTGTCATGCCATGCTACAGAGTGTGTGTGGGGGAAAATCTACATTTCCCTTATGTGTGTAACAATACATTTTTCTTCACACTGTCTCAATAGGAAAAGGAAAYTCTTCCCATCTGTTTTCATCTCATGTACAAGGCTGAACAACAAAGGCAAAATTAAAAATTGAAAAGCTGGAAGACTTTTTTTGCATATGAAACTATTTTAGGTCTGCCACTAACAACTGCTGGCTGAAAACTAAAGTAGGGCTTTCAGTACCATATTTGATTACATAAAGCCGTGTTACAGATGCCAAAGTAATTAGAATGCACTCGAAGTTTATATTCAAGATACTTATACAAATAAATGAGCAGTTATTTTTAAGATGTAGTTGATGGAAAGAAATTAAATTAGCTTTTAAAATTATTTCAGTAATTCAAATTGCTACAAAAAATATGTTGATTACTATTTGCTCTTGCTGCTTTAAAGGTGTGCATTGTCCTCTGATTTGAGAGGTAAGAATTTCCTTGCCTACCCTCTGCCCAGACACTAAGACAGGAGGACTTTTATGTAAAATTACTGTTTGCAGAACACTAAATGCATAAACATTTGCAACCTGCGGAAGCAGTTGGTCCTCAAAGCACCAAGAGGGCTCTCCTGCAGGCTTATTCTAAAGCTACCATCCACTCCTGGTCGCTCAAGAGAAACTTGCATTTCCTCATATACAAAGCCACCAGCCCATCCTTGCCTGCTGAATGCCATCAGCTTTTTGCACACACCTAACAGCTTCTTGTTCAAAGCAAAAAGGCTGCACCCCCCCATGCACTGCATGCCCACATAGCCTTCTTTAATTTCTTCATGGGATTTCTCCTGCTTCATTTCCAGGATTTTTTTTCTTTCAAAGCGTAGACAGTGCCTGCCATTACTGCTTTATTTCCTTAAAAAACAAAAGGAACCAGCATTTGAGCTCACATCCAGCTATCTTGACCTCTCTTCAGGCCAMATGACAGCACTGAGACCACAACAGGCAACACTTAAATGACACTAGTCTAAGTGACCACCTTCTTTAACACTCAAAACCTCCAAAGCTACTGGGCACATTACTTGGCTATTTGGGCTTCCTCCTGGATATTTTTCTTTATAAATTATACAACAGCATGAAGGCTACAAAATCAAACCCAAAATGGACTAAATTGTTCTATGTGAAGGCACTCGAAGAAACATGGATTTTCACAGTGGTGCATCTGAGCAAACATCAGTCATCTCAGGTACATGTTTTCAGCTGCAATATCAGCTCTCAAGACAAAGCAGAAGTTTTTGACAGGTTGCAGGACTGCAGGGAAGCCCAGCTGGCAGCCCAGAACACACAAGAGAGCTGAATCAACAACTTTAAGTCTGGCAGCAAGGACTGGCAACTCCAGCAGTAAGTCTAATTGGACAGGGTAGGAGCTCAGTGTCTGTATTTCAAACTGCATGCAGGAACCACCAAGCTGAATTTTTCTAGTATTCTACAGCCCACCTATGTTTCAAATTAAGAAATAAAGAAACAAACTGAAAACCAATGTAAATAGTTGTGTAATAATGCAATAATAGATGAATAATGTAATGTAAGGGATGGGTTTGACMAGTCCTTTTCAACTGACATGTTACTTCACTGTCCATAAAACTCAGCTGTAACATCGCCATCCACGAGGCTACAAAGATAGCATAAGAAGTGCAGTATGGTAAGAAAATGCATCAAGAAGCCATAACAAGCAGTTTTTGTTAGATGAAGAACAGACATATTAAATTTTTTAATGCTGCCTAATTTTTGTTGATGGACCCATTCAGCTGTTACTGAAAATGCCTAAGTCTTTTGAGGCGTTGTCCAGAAGTCATGATATCAATCTCACACTGAAGTTGCAGAAGTAGGATCACATTCTGCWGAAGTAGGATCACATTCAGGTAAGAAYACCACTGTGGATTTCTGATACAAGTTGAGAGTTCATGAGGTGGTAGTAAGTTAGACTTAGATATCACCAGTAAAAACAAGATGACTACAGGACAGCTTTACAACCATAATAGAGATGGGTCCTTTTACAAAGTTTTGTCTGGTATAAGCAGTATAAGCAAGTGTAAGTATAAGCAACCTTTCACACAGCACAGCAAGTTCCCATCTAAAGGAACCACATGCGTCAACCAGATTAAAAAATAAGTTTGACAAACTGGAGACGCAAGAGCTACCATGATGACCAAAAGAAAAAACTGGTTCTAAAAGAAGATGAATTAAGACTTCAAGTTCATAAAAAATGCTAACAAAGCTTTCCGACATTTCTGTAGATTAAAAAAACACCCCTGGAATTTGGATTTCTTRCTTTTAAGACTTGCTGAAAATGGTTTTCAGTTACTGTCTCTACTCCAATGTCAAGCAATTCTTTGCTTATTCTGTAAGTCAAAATAACTATGAAAACTATTCTATCCTGCAGTTCTCCTCCACTCCCACTCCCAATAATTTCTATACGAGTCTCCTGTTCCACTCTTCTCCCAGTCAGCCAGGTACTACCCTTGTGCTCCTTCTCTGCAGAAGTTACTGTACACTTAAAAGCTCTGGAGATGCAGCTTGGCTGAAAATTAATAGTGCAATCTCTACAGACTTGGAGAGGAAACATCGAGGACATTTACATGGAGTATGAACACCAACACATACCTGCACATAGTGTTCAAGAAACATACCAGCATAGCAGTGTTCAAGACAGAAGCAAGCTTCAAACACCCAGTTTGGGGAATGTGGTTGGTGATTCACATTCATCACAAACAGCAGTCAAGCATCAAACTTCTATGGAATAGGTTCTGTACTGATAAAGCGCAAGCTGGCACTTGGGAAAGAGCTCCAAAGCAAGTTTAAGCTGTTAAGCCACTGCTTTCCTAGAAGTAACTTGTCAGAAAGCAATTTTAACTGGTCTGTACACTTAACTACGTGTCCTAAATCTCACCTGATGTTAGCCCATTCACTTCATGCTCGAATGTTTCTATCCACATGACGCCAAGACCTAGCCTAATGCCAGCAATATGGATACTCATCCAGAATAACATAAAGGACTCCAGTGCAATAATGGTCAGTACCCTTCTCACACAGCCCAGCAAAGCTGCTACTATTATCCTCCGCCTCAAAGGATGTATCTACAYACAAACAAGATTCTGAAGCAGACAGGGATCTCATTCGGATGCAAGATTGGAAGAGAATAACAAGAAGTTGCATCAGGAAACACAGAATGAATGGAAATGAACAACAAAAGTGACCCCAACCTTGAATTTCCAACTACAAATGGTGCAAAAAGCTGCAAAGTGCAGCAAAGTGGCTCAGGTGTTCGAACTCCAAGTAAGTCTGAGCTGAAGTAGCATCCAAATATAAATACTAATGTCACACAAGTGGTGAAGTCCGTTGGAGTGTCAGAGACCAAAGAAAAGCTACAACCCATAAAAAGACTTTGCAAGATTTCTGCTGGGTGCCTTTCTCCCCTATAATACTAGGAAAAACTCATCCATATTGTCCCGAGGCTGTATTTATATCACACAGGAAATAATTTTTTGTTTAAACCCAAGTGCCTGAATTTTGAAATCAGACCTCTTCCCACTGCATTATACTACTTATTAGATGTTCAAGCAAGACATTCGCTGTACTGGCAGCTTGGGAAGGGCACCAGCATCTTCCAGCATATAGATAAAGGCAGGAAAAGACTCCAAACCCTAACGTTTATAGTTATTTCATGGCTATTAAACAAGAAAATGAAAACAGAAATCGGAAAAGGGTATGCTTCCAGCCCGAGACCATCTATAAACGCATTGTGCAATGAAACCATCAGCCGAGTTCTCAGATAATGGGCAGTGCCATTGACCTTGGCTCGGAACACGGGACAACTTTGTTCCCACCTCCCGACTCTGCTGCAACATAAAATCCCGGGTGAACGCTCTCCGCTACACCCAAAACGGCAGCCACACCTCTCCCGCTCCCGAGCTTCTTCACAAAGTATTTCTAAGCCCCATTTTACTCTCTCCGTGGGAAAACCAGGTTTTCCAAGCATAGGGGTCTTTTATCGCAACCAAGCGGGGCAGGAGGTTCGCCTTCAGGGTGACACACCAGCCCTGCCCTCCACACGCCATTATACATTAACCGGTTTTCCGCGCGTTGCGGGTACATACAAGATAACCCCGGAGTTGCAGTCGGTGTCCTGGCCCATCCCACCCCGSCCTGAGAGCCGAGTCTCCCCTCCCTCCTCTCGCTCTCCCCGCCGAGGGGCGCCGGGGCCGCGCACAAAGGCGACGACGCGCATGTGGGCGCGCACCCCGCCGCCCCAAGATGGTGGGCGAGAAGMGAGCCCGCCCCGCCCCCGGCACTGCTCGGATCGGCACAGCCCGGGGCCCGCCTGCCGCCGGCTCCGTCCGGCAGGAACCCGCGCAGCCCCGCCATGCCGCCCCTTGCTCGCTCTGGGGTGGCGGGAGCCCCAGCACGACTGTGCGCGCTGGGGGTGTCCCCCGGGAGGGGCCCGCCCCGCGGCCAGAGAAAGGGACCCGGCAGCGGCAGCGTGCGGCGGCGGAGCGGGCACCCCCCGCCCCACGTGTGCGGCGCCTCGGCGGGCTCACCTCGTCCTCCCGCTCGCTGCGGAAGCACAGGCACGCCGCCCGCTTCTTGTAGCCCTCCCGGTCGTACGTCCGCGTCTGATTCGGCTTGAATTTCATCATAGAGGCGGTGACACGCCGGCTGCCCTCGGCCGCCGCTGCCGCCGCCACGGCTCCTCTCTGTGAGCGCCGCCGCCGCGCCCCCGGGACACCGGCGCGGGGCTCCCACTCGGGAGCGGGGCTGGAAGAAGGCCAGTCCCCGCCGCTGTCACAACAGCGCCGCGCCGCCTCTGCTGCTGGTGCCGCCGCCCCGGGAGCTGCGCCGCGCCATGGAGGCTCTTCCAGCACCCCGAGCCGCCGCCGCCCGCCCGCGGCGGCCGCCCCTGCGCCCCCACTATTTAACCGTAACGCGCATTCCTGCGCTCGCCGCGCCGCTCCGCGCAGGCGCC